TACTTGGAAGGCCGAGGCAGAAGGATCGCCGGAGCCCAGCAGGTCGAGGTTGCGGTGGCCGGGAGCGGCCACTGCACTGCAGTTTGGGCGACAGAGTGAGACTCCGACTCAAAATAAATAAATAAATAAAATAAATATTGTGACCAGGTGTGGTGCCTCAGCCTGTAATCCCAGCACTTTGGGAACCCAAGGCAAGAGGATTGCCTGAGTCCAGGCCTTCGAGACCAGCCTGGGCAACTTGGTGAGACCTCATCTCTACAGTAAATCACAAAAAAAAGACTAGCCGGATGTGGTGGTGTGGGTTTGTAATTCCAGCTACTTGGAAGGCTGAGGGGTAGGATCGCCTAAGTCCAGCAGGTCAAGGCTGCAGTGGCCGTGGCCTGGGCGACAAGAGTAAGTCTCCAACTCAAAGAAAATAAAAATAAATAAAATATTTATTGTTCGCAACATACCACTTTCAAAGCATGTATATAGTATTTCTTCAGTAATTTGGAATAAAAGAGGTGGGAAGTAAATTGTTTCTGAATTACTGAATATTTTAAATTGCAAAGTGCTATACAAATACATTTTTATTACTTATAAATGGTATATAAATTCTAAATTGGCTGGACTCGGTGTCTCAGCCTGTAATCCCAGCACTTTGGGAGGCCAAGGCGAGTGGATTACCTGAGGCCGCGAGTTCGAAACCCACCCAGGAATCTTGGCGAGACCTCGTCTCTACAGTAAGTCAAAAAAAATTAACCTGGTGTGGTACCACGTGCCTGTAGTTCTGGCTCCCTGGAAGGCTGAAGCGGAAAACAGGTCAAGTCAAGGCTGCGGTGGCTGGGAGCTTGCCACTGCGCTCCAGTCTGGGCAACAGAGTGAGACTCTAACTCAAAGAAAAAATTCTAAATTAGTAATTGTAATTAAGTAATACTGATATTTACTCAAGAATTTCACGTAAGCTCCAGATTAAATGTATAACTGCATATTTATCTTTACCATGGAGATAAATGAGATTTTTTTAAAGCAGAATTTATAAAAATTTACAGGTTATACTTTCTGGTTTCTGAACTGTCTATGCTATATATAACTTTATTTTGTTTTCTTTTTTTAGCTTGAGAGAGGTTCTTGCTTTGGTGCCCAGGTTAGTCTCTAACTCCTGGGCCTAAGGGATTCTCCTGCCTTAGCCTTCTGAGTACAGGCGTGTGCCATTATATCTGGCAAGTTTTTCAAATAATATAATTTTATCCCTTTTTCAAGTTTTGCCTCAATGCATGATATTGCATTACAGGCATACCTCAGAGGTATTGGAGGTGTGGTTCCAGGCCACCTCAGTACAGCCATCAGTCAGTGGATCAGGAAAAACACACATAATTTATCAATTATGTAATTTTGCCATCTTATATGAGCACTGTTTGTGATGTCAAGAAACAGTTATAATAGCAACATCAAAGATCAGTGATCATAGATCACCATAACAGATATAATTATAATGAGGCTGGGCATGGTAGCTTACACCTGTAATCCCAGTATTTCGGAGGGCCTAGGCAAAAGGATTGCCTGAGCCCAGGAGGTTGAGACAACTCTGGGCAACATGGTGAGACCTCATCTCTACAATGACAAAAAAAACTAGCCGGGCAAGGTGGCACTCGCCTTTAGTTCCAGCTACTTGGAAGACTGAGGTGGAAGGATTGCCTGAGCCCAGCAAATTAAGGCTGCAGTAGCCATGATCGTGCCACTGCACTCCAGGCTAGGTGACAGACTGAGACTCCAACACAAAATAATAATAATAACAACAACAATAATAATGCATAAGCTTGAAATATTGTGAGAATTACCAAAATATGACACAGAGAAATGGAGTGAGCACATGCTGTTAGAAAAAGAACTTGCTTAAAGCAGAGCTACTACAGATATTCAATTTGTAAGAAATACAATGTTTACAAAGCTTAACAAAGCAAAATGTAATAAAATAGTGTATGCCTGTATATCCAAAATGTATTTGTCCATGTAAATTTGTATTATAATGTATATTATGGGCTTGAATTTCCACAGACACATGTTGGGAAATGCATTTAATAAATATATAGTCTAGGAGGCATTTCCCAATCTAATCCTCATCTTTCTCTCATACTATGCCTCCAGCTATATAAGACTTTGTGCCACATATGTGAATAAGTATGACTTGTGGGAGGGGTCCGTGATCCATTTTATTTCTATATTCTACTGTATATTGTTTGTATCTTCTACTGTCTATTAACCCTTTTGCAGTGTTGGTTCTCCTTCCAGATGTCTGGAGAGCAAGTCTTAATAACTTTTTTGGTCATTCTCAGGAAATAACAGTCTTTTCAAGAACTTATTTCATGTTTAAAGCTTTCTCTCCTTTCCCACTTGAGGCTTACTACAGGCCTGCTATGGTTAGCTTCCTTTGTCTTCTTCCTGTCTTCCCCACTTTGCCCTTTTACTTCTTTTCATTTGCTGACTGGATTTTTACCCTTCTAGGATTAGGAGAGGCAAGAGGTAGAAGAAAAAAAAAAGTCAGATAATACTAGCAACAGCAACTAATGTTTCTATAGCATTGATTATGTTGCTAGTTACTGATCTAAACACTTATCATGTGTTAGGTCATTTATTCCTCAGAACTCTATATGGTATATTCTAGTATCCCCGTTTAACTGCTGAAGAAATTAAGGTGTGGAAAGCTTAGTGACTTGCTGAAGGTCACACAGGTATAAATGGTAGAACCAGTGTGCAGAGCCAGCATTCTGGCACCACAGTGCTCTCAACCACTCCACTGTGTTGCTTTTATATACTGTTAAGAGATTGTAAGCATACTTCCTATTCTTGGCCTGTGTTTCAGATAACTTACATGTGCCCTTTAGAGTTTTTTCAAGGGTGACATATATTCCATAGTCCTGAGACAAAGAGCAAACATACCTTTAAAGCTCCTTCCCCTGCAGGGGAGTCAAAGAGAGTAAGATGGGATTTAGAACTCACCAATTATTCTCAGCAAACATCTTTTTGTAATCTTAAACACTTTGAATATTAAAGACAGCTGAAAGTGGATGTAACTCAAGTTTGAAAATAGTTTTCTACTGCCCACTTGCATAGGTGGCCTTGCACCTCACTTGAGAATGTAGTATAGTATCTATTGTTTGGGGCCTAGTCAGGATTGAAATGGTTTCATTTTAACACTGATTCACATGATCCCCAAATACGCCGTTTAATTTCTTGCTTTCACATCTTTGTTCATGCAAAGGCACAATCCACATGGTCCCTGGATTGTGACTAACTCACTTGCACTGAAGGCATGTTCCCTCCCTTAACCACATGATCCCAGATCAAGAATTCTTGAAGGCTAAGCTTTAAAAGCAGAAGCTAGTTTCCTGGGATGCAACAAATGAACAAAAAAATTTATATATTGCCTTTCTACTTTGTTCCTCTTCCTCTCATTCCCATAAGACATAAATCAGCAAATATGTTAAAGGATGGTTTGCATAGACCAGTCCTAGCTGTCTAGTGCCCCATTGTGATTAGTTGTCTCCAGGAAGGTTATGTAGAGCAGGTTTATATTTGAATGTTATCAGTAATTATGGTAAATATAATTATTTTAGTGACCTTACCTGGCTTCCTTGGCAAAGGGGTTTATGCCTTTATCCCTTCTATCATGATATCTGACAGAGAACAATCTTAGACCGATTATTTTGTATTATCATATTAGAATAGTCAGTGACCTTTTTCTTACTCATCTTGAAAATTTTTCCCCCACTTCCCTTTCTTTTCGCTGTTTCCCTTCTATTTCTTTCTTTTCTCCTATATATTTACTTGCATAGACCATTCAAAGGGATGATTATGTAATGGATTGTTTAGCGTTTACACTGACTTTGGCCACTGTATGCTCACATTTAGAAACAAATAATAATGTATACTATACTGACAGATATGGCGAGTAGTAAATTATCAAATGTGAAGCATTTAGAATACTGTCTGGTACATACTAAGAACTAAGAATTGTCATTATTTGAAAACTGTTGGAGGTCATTAAAGCATTAGTTCACAGACTCCACTGGGACAGTTTAGAGGGCAGGTAGTGGGAATATATTTCATTTCATTCCCTACCTTGAAATTCCTCTCTCACTACCATCTTTTCAGCTTTTTTATTTAGCACAGTAGCCACATGAAAATGATCTAAGTCACATTTTATTTAAACTACTAAACCATCAATTAATGTTTTATTCTATGTATTTTTTAGGGTATTTCTGATTCATTTGCATCGTTGAAGAGCATCTGTAGAAGAGGAAAGAAAAGATGGGTGTGAAAACATTTACTCATAGCTCCTCTTCCCACAGCCAGGAAATGCTTGGAAAGCTAAATATGCTGCGAAATGATGGACATTTTTGTGATATCACTATACGTGTCCAGGACAAAATCTTCCGGGCACATAAGGTGGTACTAGCAGCTTGCAGTGATTTCTTTCGCACCAAACTTGTAGGCCAAGCGGAAGATGAGAACAAGAATGTGTTGGATCTGCACCATGTTACAGTGACTGGTTTTATACCTCTTTTAGAATATGCTTACACAGCTACTCTGTCAATTAACACAGAAAATATTATTGATGTTCTAGCTGCAGCCAGCTATATGCAAATGTTTAGTGTTGCCAGCACCTGCTCGGAGTTCATGAAATCAAGCATTTTGTGGAATACACCCAACAGCCAGCCAGAAAAGGGTCTAGATGCTGGACAAGAAAATAATTCTAACTGCAATTTTACTTCTCGAGATGGAAGCATTTCTCCAGTGTCTTCAGAGTGCAGTGTGGTAGAAAGAACCATTCCTGTCTGCCGAGAATCCCGGAGAAAGCGCAAAAGCTACATTGTTATGTCTCCTGAAAGTCCTGTAAAGTGCAACACACAAACAAGTTCACCCCAGGTATTGAATTCTTCAGCTTCCTACTCAGAAAATAGAAATCAACCGGTTGACTCTTCGTTAGCTTTTCCCTGGACTTTTCCTTTTGGAATTGATCGGAGGATTCAGCCTGAGAAGGTTAAGCAGACAGAAAATACTCGGACTTTAGAATTGCCTGGCCCATCTGAGGCAGGTAGAAGAATGACTGATTATGTGACTTGTGAGAGCACAAAAGCTACCTTGCCTCTGGGTACTGAAGAGGATGTCCGGGTCAAAGTAGAAAGGTTAAGTGACGAGGAGGTCCATGAGGAAGTGTCCCAGCCTGTCAGTGCATCTCAGAGTTCCCTGAGTGACCAGCAGACAGTGCCAGGAAGTGAACAAGTGCAAGAGGACCTTCTGATTAGTCCACAGTCTTCTTCTATAGGTATAATGTCTTCTGTGTTTTTCATAGTCCTATAAAGTCAATTCAAACATTTTAAAGTTCCCAGTAGATAAAAAGTTGTGTGCTCAGTCCTGTAGCAAAATATTAAAAAGAGTAAAACATGATAACTGGGTTTTTTTTTTTTAAGATGCTATTAACACTACAGTTTGTTTTTACAAGTTACACATTGGGGAAGATAAAAATAGTTGAACAAAGGCAATGTTATAAATTATTTTCAGTTTAAAAAATCCAGTCATGTTTTATTCTTCATTAAAATATTTATTGAAAAACCTACCATGTGCCAAACATTGGTGATACATAGAGAAAACCACATAGTCCCTGCAATGAAAGACTTAATAGTCTAGTTGGGGATACAGATGTGTAAATAAATGGTTACAGGAACTATTAAAAGTGAACAAAGTGGTATGGTTACAACAAAGGAAAGAGCAAGTTAACACTATATATTTGAACTGGGTCTTATGCAATAAGTAGGAGTTTGCCCAAGGGAGGGAATGACATTTCTATAAAAATGTGTAAAAGCACAGAGCATGTATGCAAGCAAAGAGGTGTGAAAGAGCATTGTGTGTTTGGTAAGCAGTGAATTCAGTACAAAATGATGTGAAGAAAGCATGGATGCCTGGAAGTGTGGGGAATAATGGGAGATAAGACAAGTGGTTGAAAGGCTGTGAAGAGGCTTAAATCCTAGTTTCAGTTAGGATGAATTGTAATTCTATATAATTCTGTTATATTTAAGTGCATATAACAGAATATCTCCCGCAGTGGCTTAACCAAACAGGATTTTATTTTCATCACATAAAGTGTTCAGAAATAGAAAGCCCAGGGTGGTACAATAAGTCTTCAGGGTAATCAGAACCCAGAGCTCCTGGTATATTTAAAGTCTGCCATTATAAATTTGTCAATTTAATCCATATTCTTATTGCTTCATAGTTAGAAGATGCTCACTTCATCTTTAGCTTTGCATTCTAGAAAGGGATAGCACTTTTATCAAGAAAGCACAGATGTTCTCAGAAAACCCTTAAAAACTACTTCGAGACTATGGCACATGGTCTTTTCTAGCTGCAAGGGAAACTGGGAAGATAATTTATATTAGCTGAGTATATAACTGTCTTGAACAAAATTAGAGCAGAATGGATACTGGGTATGCAACTAGTAATATCTGCCATAGCTAGGCCAAGCAAGCCTGGGTTTTGTCTTCATGATAGTAAGAAGTCTATGTTAAAGGGAATAAATAAAATACATGCAGATATTTTAGGAAAATTAGTTTGGTATTGATATGTGAGTTTTTATTGTACAGAGAGTCTCAAAAACCAATTATAGTACAGTTATCTTGGTGTGAATGAAGACTAAAAGTATGTAAAAAGCAAAATGGATATTAGACACTTTGTAAAGAATCAGTACCTGATAATTTTGAATATATAGATTGAAGAAATAGGAAGGGTCAAAGTACTCAGGATGTCTTACAGTTAATCTTTTACAGTCATATAATGTGTAGCATTTTAGCATCTACTAAATACAGTAACTGCAGTCCTGAAAATCAGAGGAGGGTGGTGGGTACCCAGCTTTAAGCGTAAGTTAGAAAGGTCACTTCTGTGTAAATTATGCTCAAGTGACAACCAAGCAGTGTCATGCTACAAAGCAGTTGAAAAGGCAGGATTGGTGAGATTACCAGTTTGGGACCAGTTTCTATTAGTAGTGGCAAATTCAGTCTCAATGGAAAAATACGTGTAATAGCCAAAAACCAAGGAATTAATCCTTGGGAAATATCTATATTCAAGGTTGGGAAGGCATAGAAGAAATAATAAAGATTAGTCAAAAAAATTGGAGAACCAAGAAGACCATATTAACTGTACTTCTTATAGTTTGACCATTTGTGTGAATTTCCCAGGGCTGCTGCAACAAGGTACCACAAACTGAGTAGTTTAAAACAACAGAAATTTATTCTCCCACAGTTCAGCAGGCCAAAAGTCTGAAATACAGGTGTTATTTCAGCTCCCTTTGAAGGTTGTAGGGAAGAATCCTTGCTTGTGTCTTCCAGCTTCTGGCAGTTGCCAGCAGTCTTTGACGTTCTTTGGATTTTAGCTTCATTGCTTCAATATCTGCCTTTGTCTTCACATTACCTTCCCTATGTCTCTCTTGTGACACCTCCTCCAAATCTCTCTGTTCTTAAAAGGACACCAGTCCTTGGATTTAGGGCCCAGCGTCATCCAGTGAGCTCATCTTCACTTGATTACATCTGCAAAGACCCTATTTTCTTTTCTTTTTTTTTTTTTTTTTTGAGTTGGAATCTCACTCTGTCGCTCAGACTGGAGTGCAGTGGCTGCTCCCGGCCACCGCAGCCTCGACCTGCTGGGCTCTGGCGAACCTTCCGCCTCAGCCTTCCAAGTAACTGGGACTACAGGCTTGTACTACCACGCCCGGCTGATTTTTGATTTATTGTAGAGGTGAGTTCTCGTCAAGTTGCCTGGGCAGGTCTCGAACCCGCAGGCTCAGGCAATCCACTCACCTCAACCTCCCAAAGCGCTGGGATTACAGGTTGAGCCACCGAGCCCGGCTGACCCTATTTTCAAATAAAGCCACATTGGTAGCAGAGGTTAGAACATCATATCTCGGCCGGGCTCGGTGGCTCAGCCTGTAATCCCAGGACTTTGGGAGGCCGAGGTGAGTGGATTGCCTGAGCCCGTGGGTTCAAGATGTGCCTGGGCAACTTGATGAGACCTCATCTCTACAGTAAATCAAAAATTAGCCGGGTGTGGTAGCACACGCCTGTAGTTCCAGCTACTTGGAAGGCTGAGGCGGAAGGATCACTGGAGCCCAGCAGGTCAAGACTGCCGTGGCCAGGAGCGGCCACTGCGCTCCAGTCTGAGTGACAGAGTGAGACTCCAACTCAAAAATAAAAATAAAACATCATATCTCTTTGGGAGACACAGTTTTACTCACAGCACCCTCTGAAATTCATATTCCTGAGTTTGGGTGAAGATACTAAGTGAACACACATACAATGAAATATTTCACTGTATATTTCACTGTATAAGAGCAAGGGAATCCTTGTTCTTTTTTCATATGATTGAGTTTTTGTTAAATTAGCAGTCTTTAATCTTGAAGATACTTTGGTACCTTCTGAATCATGAGCTACTCAATAAACAGTTACTAATTGAACCGTTTGCCTTAGAAAGTAGAAGCCCAAATGTTAATGTAACTAAATTATTTTGCTAACTAGACATGTGAAATAGTCATCTTTTACCACTGTCAGATACATATAATCAGTTCAGATTTTGCCTTTATGATCTCATTAACATGATTATATAGAGAAGCTATGAACATAAGTAAAACAAAACTTTCAGTTATATAAGTAAAACTAATTACCTACATATTCTTATAAATATAGTTTCTAGCCGGGCTCGGTGGCTCAGCCTGTAATCCTACGCCTTTGGGAAGCTGAGGTGAGTGGATTGCCTGAGCCTGCGGGTTCGAGACCCGCCTGGGCAACTTGGTGAGACCTCATCTCTACAATAAATAAAAAATTAGCCAGGTGTGATAACGCGCACCTGTAGTTACAGTTACTTGGAAGGCTGAGGCGGAAGGATCGCCGGAGCCTAGCTGGTCAAGGCTGCGGTGGCCGGGAGCAGCCACTGCACTCCAGTCTGGGCGACAGAGTGAGACTCCAACTCAAAAAAAAAAAAAAAAAAATACATATAGTTTCTGTTATACAGTGGACATGGAATAACTGACCAGATGACCAGAGTATCATATAATCCAAATAGGATTATATGGATTATATGGATTTGTTTTTTTTCCTTGCCCCCAGTGCATATGTACTAGTCATTCTCAACAAAACTGTCTTAACTCCAAATTGATATACTAAAACAAAGCCATACAGAAAAAAAAAAAAAAATTCCTTGGGGTACTGAAGACAGCCAGTAAATGTGGGGGAGGGGCTGTGTGTGGTGACTCACACCTGTTATCCTAGCACTTTAAGAAAGCCAAGGCTTGAGCCCAGGAATTTGAGACCATCCTGGGCAACATAGCAAGACTTCATCTCTACAAAAAATTAAAAAATTAAAAATTAGCCAAGCGTGGAGGCATGGGGAGTTCCAGCTACTCGAGAAGCTAAGGCAAAGGATCACTCTGAGCCTAGGAGATGGAGGTTGCAGTGAGCCAAGATCTCACCTCTGTATTTCAGTCAGGATGACAGAGTGAGACCTCAACTTAAAAAATAAAAAATAAATGTGGGAGGGAGAAAAGGAAGATGTGACTGGTGCTCTTTCCCCCCATGTTTTATAAGAATGCTTCTGTAGAAGTACTTAATTTTACTTGTTCATTAAAGAAGGTATCTAAGAAGTAGCTTGTCTTTCTAGGAACTGACAATATATTGTTTAATATATTATTAAGAAATTTTAAAATAATGATTATCTATGAAATTAATGCAAATGGAATTTTTTACCTGTTATTTTGAAAGGTGGTAAAATTCAACATCCTCGACTTGGGGCCAATAGAAGCAATAAATGAAACAAATTTAAAGGAGAAAAGACTGGTGAGTTTAGGTTGAGTCTTGTTACTTAAAAAGGTGACTCGTATTCCCCCACTAGCCTTACCCCCACCCCTAGATAAATACTCTGTTTATTCGCTTATTCTAGATATTTTATATAAATGGGATTATGCAAGATCCATTTTATTCTGTCTTCTGCTTTCATCATGTTTTCACAAGTTCAACCATGTCATACCTTGTAAAGTTTTGAAGTGGTTTTGCCAGTCAGATCTAAACTTGACCTTCACGACTGATTCAGATGGACTAATCAGGCCTTTGTCCATTCTCGCATTATGACTTATTTCTCATGTAGACATGCATCAATACACTAGGCAGGCAGACAGATCATAGGAAATAGATGTTAGAAGGCTAGAAAACAATTTCATCAAGAAGCAACACCATCTGATCGAATAACCAAAATATTACCAAACACAAACAGTGAAGGACTTCACTGAAA